GTGTGTGTGTGTGTGTGTGTGTGTGTGTGTGTGTGTGTGTGTGTGTGAACGTCAGAAAACAAACCTTTCCATCCTGTGAGCCAGGGATTGAATTCAGGTTGGCAACAAGTGCCCACTGAGCCATCTCACTGGGCCATGATTTTTCTTTATTATAATTTTTTTTTTTTTTTTGGTTCAGGGTTTACTTTTGATAAACAACTTGGAAAATAATGTATATCGTTATAAGAATGTTTCCTTTACAGTTAAGTCAAGCCATGATCAAAGAGAAAGGATGAAAGATATTTCCAGAGAATGTGCTCTGAAAGCTATTGAACAGAAAAATGCACTTTCTTCTCAACGGAGAGATTTAGAAAAGGGACAAAGGAAAGATCCAGGCCGACAAAGGGGTAAGCTAAGCACTTAGAGAAGTCATTTAAAAAGAACTGGCAAAAAAATCTTATTTTAAAATGGAGTTTTGGGGCTGGAGAGATGGCTCAGTGGTTAAGAGCACTGGCTGATTTTCAAGAGGACCCTGGTTCAGTTTCCAGCAACCACATGGCAGGTGACATCTGTCTGGTCTGTAACTCAAATTCCAGTGGATCTGACTCCCTCACACAAATATATATGTATGCCAAACACCAAATATACATAAAAATAAGTAAATATTTAAAAACCATAATAAAACAAAATGGAGTTTGATGTTATACTGTGTATGTTTACATGTTACATTTTAGATATTTACATGTTTCGCAGTATGGTTTCTTGAATGCCCTTGTACAAAATGCAAAAAAAGAAAAATTTTCCAGTTCTTATTTAATTGTAATTTTGAGATATGTCTTAGTTACTGTTACATTGCTGTGAAGAGATACCATTACCAGGACAACTATTGTCAAATAAAGCATTTAGTTGGGAGATTGCTTGTAGTTTTAGAAGGTGAGTCCATGATTATTGTGGCAGGAAGCAGACAGGCATGGTGCTGGAGCAGTGGCTGAGAGCTTTACATCCTGATCCGTAGGTAGGAGAGACACAGGGCTTGGTGTGGGCTTTTGAAACCTCATAGCCCATTTGCAGTGACGAACCTTCTTCAACAACACTACCACACATACTCTAACAAGGCCACACCTCCTAATCTTTCTCAGACTGTTCAGCTCACTGGGGACCACGCAAACATACAGGCCTATGGTGGCCGCTCTCTATAAAAGCACCACAAGATACTAGTGTTTATGTTTTGATATTTTTACCTCTATTTACCTTTCATTTACAAATGCAATTCAGTTTGTTTACTAACTAAGGAGGAAGGTCATGGGAAGTTGCTTATTGTAGGACACCTGCCAACAAGCATGTTCAAGGCTTAGATGATCCTCAGTGCTGAAAACAAAAAGGAGACTTAGAAGGGCTTCTCACTGCCCATACTTCTGCTTGCTGTTAATCCAGTAGCTTTCAGTGCATTATAAACTTAACCTTTTTTGATTTTACCATGTTTTCATGGTTATAAATTTACCACTATATTTTAAAGGCTGAGTTCAGGGATTTGCTACAGTGACATTGCGCATACTTTGGTGTGTGGGTGTGATATGACATTCCTGAAATGGATGCTCCTTCAGGGTGTGTTTGTTTCTGGTTTGGACAGATGCCCTCTGCTGTCCTGGAAGACTAAGACAGCACCTCACAAGCCAAGTGACAGTGTGTCTCATTCTTGAACTCGGAAAACTTTACCAACATCAGACATGAGAAATGTATTTATGACTTTTGTTAATTATAAGTGAGCCAAAATGCTTAATTCTTTATGAAAAAAGCAGTTTTTATGATCTACTTTGTAGGTCTTTTTAAAGCTCAGTTAATTTTATAAATATCTCTCATTTGTAAATAAATTTTTTTTTTTTAGTTGATTGGGTTTTTGATACATGATCTCACTACATAGCCCAGGCTGGCTTCAAACTCATGATCTTCTTGCTTCATTGTTTGAGCCTCCCAAGTGCTGAGGTAATACCACATCTGATAGTGAATGTTTTAATTCTAAATCAGTATGTGATATGTCTTCATTTTTGTTATTTTCATATGTCTTGTGTACTGTTATTATTTTTAAGATTTGGTTGATGAAGATTTTTCACCTTTCAAGTCTGGATCACCTCCTGCCCCAGATGGCTTTAGACAACAAGGGAACCCTCATCTCTACCATAGCCAAGGCAAAGGACCCTATAAACATGACCGAGCTGCCCAGGAGAGCCACACCTCTGGAAAAATGATAAGTTCAAGCAAATCCCAGAATCTTTTTGTTTCTGGAGAGAAAACAACAGGCAAAGCTAAGAGTGACAATGGCACTGGCTATGACACAGACAGCAGCCAGGATTCAAGGGACAAAGGAGGCGGCTGCAGTAGTAGGGCTAAAAGCCGCCACCGTGCTTGGAAACCGATGAGAGAAACATTAAATGTTGATAGTGTTTTTAGCGAAAGTGAAAAAAAGCAACATAGTCCAAGGCGTAAGTCAGATATCAGTAACAGACCTAAATGTAGCAAGGAGCAGAGTTTTAATAATTGGACAAAAGCGAACCCAAAGCAAAAAGGGTTAATGACCATCTATGAAGATGAAATGAAGCAGGAGGCAGGAAACAGAAGTTCCCTCGAAACTAATGGAAAAGGAGCAGAGAAAAGTACTGGCACCACAGAGAGCAGAGGTCCTGGTAACAGCTGGCAGATGCAAAGGACAGAGTCTGGGTATGAAAGCAGCGATCATGTCAGTAACGGATCTGCTAATTTGGACTCGCCTGTTATTGATGGAAGTGGAGCAGCGGTGGATATCAGTGGAGGTAAAGCCTTCAGGTAATACACAGATCAGCAATTTCGCCCTCACTGTTCTTCATCTATTTTTAAAAAGATTTATTTATTTGTGTGTGTGTGTGTGTGTGTGTGTGTGTGTGTGTGTGTGTGTGTGTGTGTGTAAATGTATACCATGTGTGTGAGGGGATGCCTGTGGAGGAAAGAAGAGGTCATTGTATCTCCTGGAACTGGGTTAGAGACTGCTTATGAGCCTCGTGTGGGTGCTGGGAGCCCAACTCTGGTCCTCTGGAAGAGCAAGAAGTGCTTTTAACTCCTGCACTATCTCTACAAACCCTTCTTTTTGTTTCTTTAAAGATGTTTTCCTGCTTACCTAGCATAAGCCAATGAATGCAATTTTAAAAAGCACAGGTTTCACTTGCCTAAGTCAGTCCACAATTTATGTAACAGTTTCAAAGCAGGAAAACATCATGAACTTAGAGTAAGGAGACAAACCTAGTATATTAAAGCTTATTTGATATTTCATACTTTCAACTTTAATAGTTATTTCCTAACTTCAAAATAATGACTGTTGTTCTTAGGAAACTTGAAAAGCACAGAATCACAGGAACTATTTTCATTATTATCAGCTTGATTTTTAAAAGCTGTTGATTATTAATAGCTAATATTGATTTAACTTTCAGTTAAACAGTGGTTATTCCTAAACCAGTTGTATACCCAAATCAGCACATAGAGACTAGGGTCTATTTAATTAAGCTGGCGCACAATGGTGGGCAATAATTACTCCATCCTAAACCTCCAAGCCTGCATAGCCTCCTCTCATTCATAATTCCCACATTATACTTGCTTTTTAGTTATATCTTAGGTCTGGTTCATTTCTCCTAACGTTTCCCGATCCTGTCCTCTTGGATCTCTCCCCTCACCCTTCTTTCTTTCTTTCTCCTTCCCCCGGGACCAGGATGTCCCACCCTGTTCTCTCCATTGCTTTTGGAATGTGGGTGTTTGATTTGTATCTCAGGCACCACATGCGTGCCTGCAGTGCCTGCTGGGGCCCGAAGAGGGTGTTGGATCCCCGGGAGTGACTGGCAGTTGTGAGCTACCATGTGGTTGGTAGGAATTGAACTCAGGTCCTCTTAAAGCACAACCAGAGCTCTTCACTACTGAGCTAGCTCTCCAGTCCTCAACTATTTTTTGCTACAGGCTTTAAAGTGTTGACTTAAAATTGGTATCTTAGTTTAGCTTATTGTGGAATTATTTCATATATATATATATAAATTATCATCTCTGACATGTATATCTCAGAACTGGGGTAGTTTCTCTTACTACAGCCCAGTTCTATGGAAGCAAATATAAAATAATTCAAATAAGTTTGTGATCAGCTAATGAGTTCTAAATACATATTTTTATTACTATTGTTATCAACAATACATTTAGATGTTTCTATAATCTCTCAAACATGCTTGCTCTCAGCCTAATGGCTGATTTCTTAATATCATTCTTGTTACTTTTTTCTGATTTTAATTTTTCAAAGACATACTCTTACCTAGTGCTTGTCCACATTGATTCATTAAAAAATCAGATCTTACAAGAATCATCTACTCCTGTTCTATTAAAATAATTGTTTCCATAATGAATTAAAGGAACTTTCCTCTTAGCATTATAAATTTCATGACACTTCTTGAAATGCAGTAGTACAAATAATAGAAAGAACAAGACTTCATAAAGACATAAACCTGCATTTTAATTATTAGGCAGATTAATTTAGCTTACAAAGCAATTTCTTGTTGTATATATTCAAGTATTGGAAGCTGTATTAAATAGTGCATTAAGCCGTGTCACTGATTCCAGCACTTCAGAGGCCGAGGCAAGAGAACTGTGGATGCTAGGTCATCCTGAGTTATAAACAAAGCAGAACACCAGCAATGCACATCCAGTGTCTGAACAAGAGCTATTTCCTTTCTTAGAATACACTGACATAATGCACAATAACTAATTGCTTGGCTGTGTGTCTGATTTTCCAGTGAGCAGGTTAAGATGAGCGATCGCAATGCAGACAGTGCGGAGTGCATATCTCACCAGAGCAGAGACCTCCTAGAAGGTAAAATCACACTTAAGTACGCTTTGATGGTTGCTGGAAAGAGTGATCTACAGTACCTTATTGTCTGCTGTCATGATATACCATATGTCTGTGGTTGGTGTTTCTATTGCTGCGATGAAACACCACGACCAAAGCAACTTGGGGAGGAAAGGGTTTGTTTGGCTTACACTTCTGTATCACTGTTTATCATCAAAAGAAGTCAGAACAGGAACTCAAACATGGCGGGAACCTGGAGATGGGAGCGGATGCAAAAGTCAAAGAGGGGTGCTGCTTACTGCCTTGCTCCTCCTCCTGTCTTGTTCAGCCTGCTCTTTTATAGAGCTCAGGACTCCCAGCCCAGGGGAGGCACCATCAAACAGTGGGCTGGGCCCTTACCCATCGATCACTAAGAAAATGCTGTACAGGCTTTCCTACAACTACAGGGTTTCTCAATGTAGCCTTGGCTGTCCTGGACTTGCTTTATAGACCACTCTGGCCTGGAACTCAATGGACATCTACCTGCCTCTGCCTCCCTGAGTGCTGGGATTACAGGTGTGAGCTGTCATGCCTGGCTGGCAGCATTTTCTTAAGTGAAGCTCCCTTTTCTCAGATGACTTTAGCTTGTGTCAAGTTGACATAAGACTATCCAGAACACCTTAGAAAACCCTATATGGCCAAAATAATTATTTGGATTTGAGTGGTGTTTGTGCCTGTAATCCCAGCACTGAGGAAGTTAAGAAAGGCACAAGGATTGCAGGTTACAGGCCATTCAGATAGAGTGAGACAAAACAAATAGATAAATATAAATAACATTTTAAGTAACTATAACACCAATAATTGTGTTTTAATTTATGCATGTATTATAACAACAGGATAAAGGCATCAAACTTTTGTATATACTGTCTAATCATGCTGTTTTTCATATTTGTCTCACAGTACTGATTTTAGTTTTTATCACTTTGATTAGCTGAACATGCCTTTGAAAGGCTGAATAGCCTTTTAAAACACAGTGTTTTTACATTTATTGACTGTGTGTGCACACACAGGCCACCATGCGTGTGCAGTTAGAGAACAACCTGAGAGCCAGCTCTCTTACTTCTACCATATTGGTTCTAGAGGTCACACTCAGGTTAAGATTTTATGGCACACACCTCTGCCCACTGAGCGAGACCCCCACTAGCCGTGATTGTGTACCTCCATATGGTAATACCTTCAGCATTCCAGTATTAGTGTTTACTTCTTTGATTTACATGATGAAATCTTTGAGTCCTGGCCCTCCCACCCCAGTAGCACCTTGAATTTGGGGTTTGATTTGATGGACCTTTGAACACATTGGTTTTCCAAAGTGTGGTTTGCGTTTTCCTTGAACTTATGTTACTATAAATTATGGGTATGCCTTTGTGTACAAATGAGTGCTAGTGTCCAAGGGGACTAGAAGTGTTGGATCCCCTGAAGCTGGAGTTGCAAGCGGTTGTAAGCTATCTTACATGGAGTGCTGGGAACCAAACTGAAGTTTCCTGCAAGAGTAACGTGTGCTCTTGACCACTGCGCTGAATTTGAATAATGTTGCTCCCCAGTCTCTTCTTCATACCCTTCTCTTCCATTGGAGCCTTCCTTCCAATAAGCACCCCTCCTGCTTTCATTAGTTTTTGTGTGTGACCTACTGAGTTTACTTAGCTTCCAGCCTGAATGTCGGTTGGAGGTAATAGGTGGAATTTCTCTGGAGGGATGAGGCCTCAGTCTTCTCACCCCCATCCACAATGAAATGTTAATGGACCCAAACTTGTACAGGTCTTGTACAGATACCACAGCCGCAGTGAGTAGTAAGTGCAACCACTGTACCATGTCCAGAAGATGTCTTAAGGTATATCGTTAGGTTGTTTGAGATCTTTCTGATGATTTTTTTTAAATACAGGTATGTAGAGCTATACTTCTTAAGACTACCTTCATCATACCCATGGGTTTTAGTGTGTTGTACCTTCATTTTTCTTTTAACTCTATGAACTCTGAAAGTTTTCTTTCTGATTCCTTCATGATCTAGATCTTCGATGATCTAGAAATACTGACTATTCTCACAGTGAATGTTCAGTATTGTGCTGTTTGTTTTTCACGAATTTGTATATATTTTATGATTTCTCGTGGTATTAATTTGTGGTCTTATTCCATTGTGATCAGATAAAATAAAAGGAATTATTTTACTTTTTCTATATTTGCTAAGACTTGCTTTGTGATCAACCAAAAACCATACATAGAGAGGACCTAGACCCCCTGCTCAGATATAGCACATAGAGAGCTGAGTCTGCATGTAGGTTCCCTAGTAAGAGGAGAAGAGACAGTCTCTGACATGAACTCAGTTGCCTGTTCCTGGATCACTTCTCCCAGGTAGGGCAACCTAGCCAGCCCACAGAGGAAGAGGATCCAGGCAGTCCTGATGGAACCCGATAGGCTAGGGTCAGACAGAATGAGAGGAGGACCTCCCCTATCAGTGGACTAGGGAAGGAGGATAGAGAAAGAAGAAGGAAGAAGGAGGGGGCTGCAACTGAGATACAAAGTGAATAAATTGTAAATAATAATGCTAAAAAAGAAGAAAAAAAGACTTTGTGTTCTCTATGTAATTCCGTTTTGGAGAAAGTGTCATGTATTTCTAAGAAAAGTTTGTAATCTGTAGAGTTTGGGTAGGATATTCTGTAGTGTCTCTTTGGATATTTGATGCGTAGTGTGACTTTATTTCAGTGTTTCTCTGTATTTTTTTTTTCTCTGATCACTCAACTAGTGAAAGTTGGATAATGAAGTCATCAACTTACTATGTTGGAATAAATTTGTGTCTCTATATGTAGTAGTAAAAGTTTTATGAAATTGGGTGAGCCCGTGTTTGGTGTATATATTTAGAATTGTAATATCCTTGTTGGGTTCCTTTACAGATGATGAAGTGTCTCTTTATCTTTTCTGATTAGATTTTATTTGATTTTGAAGTTTGTTTTTTTGTAGGTATTAGAACAGGGATGCCTGCCTGTTTTCTGTCCTATTTGCAGAGAAAATCTTCTTCCACTCTTTCACCAAAAGACTGTGTCTATCTTTGATGGCAAAGTATGTTTCTTGGAAGCAACAAAAGGAAGGATTCTGTTTTCCAATCCAATCTGCTAGATTCTGTCTTTATCTGGGACATTGAAACAGTTAATATTGAAAAGTGCATATTGATTTTTTTTTTCTGTTGATTTTGTTTGTTGGTTTTTTGTTTTGTTTTTGTATAACTACTATCTTGTTTCTCTCTGTAGGCCTCTTATCTTCCCTTTCTGTCTGAAATAATTCCTTCCAGTATCCTTTATAGTGCTACCTCTTTAGCTTGCCTTTGTAATGGTAAATTTTTCCTTTCTCCTTCATTTAGGATAGATAGTTTTGCTAGGTATATTAAGCTGGGTTAAGTTGTGATTTTTCAGAATTTGTGTTATATATTTTTCAAGCACTTAAAAGCCATTGAGAAGTTAGCAATTACTCTGATGGGCTTGCCTCAATATGTAACTTGCTCCTTACTGCTTGCAACTTTTAACATACTTTTTTTGTTCTGTATATTTAGTGCTTTAGTGTATGACATGGTTCTTTTATTGTCCTGTCTATATGATGTTCTTGTATCTGAGTAGGTATCTCTTTCCCAAGATTTGGGAAATGATCTTCTGTGATTTTATTGAAAATATTTCCTATTCTCCTTCCGTGGCCATAATTCATCAATTATACCTTTCATGGTGTCCCAAAGATTTTTCATATGTATGCCTAGATATGAGTGATCCTATTCCTCTCCTTTACCTTCAAGTCCTGGAATATTGTCCTCTACATGTGTCATTCTTTTGGCAAGGCTTTCCACTGAACTTTTACTTGACCTGTTGCAATTTTCATTTCTGTCATTTCAGTTTGTTTTTCTTCAGTATTTCTATCTCCTTATCAACTTCTGTTTTCATATCCCAAATTGATTTTTTTGTTGTTGTTGTTTTATGTAATTATTTGTGTTCTTGAGTGTATGCATGTCCTCTTTGGCTTGTTTGAACATATTTAAAAATTGGTCATTTGAATTGTGTGTCAGTAATTTTATCTGGGTTATTTCACTGAATTTCATTATTGTGGGGCTTGTGATTTTTGGAGGAGATAATTTGAATAGGATATGAACAGTGAGGAACCAGAATGGCCTGCCACAGTGACTGTGTACTCTGTGATACTGGTGGAGACTGGATTCTCTGACCTTGTTGGATGACCTAGGTCATAAATGTGTGCAGCCTCTGCACTCTCTAACCTCAGATGGCAAAGCAGAACTGAGGCCATAGTGTAGACGGGCTCGCTACTTTAAATTGTGACCCGGAACTGAGACCAGGGTACTACAGCATTCCCTTATTCCAGACAGCCAACCAGAGCTTGGCTCCCTGCCATAAGGAAGTTCATACTCACAGGCTTTTAAAAAATGGGGTTAGCTACATCAGGCAGTGAAAAGGGGGAAACATCAGTCAGGATGTACGGCTTACTGTATAAGTTAGTTTTAATGTTGCCACCTGAGTTACCTTGACTTACAGTTTGAGCATCTTACAGCTTGCTACACCATGCCCACTGGGTGCCACGAGGAAGGGGAGAGAATACACCAGTGGGCTCATGAAACAGCAAAACCTTATATTATTCCCACCACATCTGTGGAGTCGCTGCTCCATCAGGGCCAGACAAGAACTTGGGAGCCTTGTTTCTTCTGGCAGCCCTGAGTAGGGCCTAAATCAGGGTTTGTAAGGATAAAAACTGCAGGCATCTGAGCCAAGTTACAGTTACAGTGTTCCCCAATCTGAACTCAGGGATTAGGGACTTTCCCAAGTATTCCATCATTGTCAACTGATGTTGAATGTAAGCTTTTTGCCCAGCCAATCAAATTCATTTGTTCTTTTTGTTGTTAGGAACAGGCATTATGTTTTGAAGAAATATTGTTGCTTAGAGAAGGAGCTGGTCAGCTGAGGTAAAATGGAGTCTGAGGTCAAGTGGCAGTACTTAAGTTC